TGTACAATCTTGGAACTGGCGCTTATGGCAAAGTGTGACCTAATGTGTGCCCACCATTAGAAGTGGGTGGATGCAGGGTGGTATATTCTAATGGTGGGCATACCACACACTTTTTCTGGCAGAGATTTCTTCTCATTTTTGTCATTCAGTCCACAGGCTGCATACAAAAAAAAAGAACATAGTATATATACCCAATAAGGACCAGCGACGTACTGATACATCACTGGACTTTGAATGGTGATACCAGGATGATGCCTACAGCTGCAGACATCATCCTGGTATCGTTTTTTTCAGCCGGTGATCGGCTTTCATGTAGCTGCAGGATTGCTTTTACAAGCAGTGGGATTTGATGCCCCCCTACCCCGCTGCCTTCCATGGCCTTCTCGGGCAGTCCCGTACCATCAGGGGAACCTGAGAATGCAGCCGGTGTTTCTGCCAGCTGACCATAGAGCTGATTGGAGACCAGAGTGGTGCCAATCATCTCTATAGTCTAAGAATTCAGAAGCTACAAGCATTTTATCACTTCAGTTTCACAGGATATAAACATCGCCATTTGTAAATTGGGAAAGCATCTGATCACACCGATTTTGGTTTGATTAGATCATGTAAGGGCAGAGGAGATATCTAGAGCCTGATAGACCCTAGATTTCTCAAAAAAGAATATATGGTAATGCCCATTGAAGTTATAGGGGATATTTGCATTCGTAAACGTAAACATAATAAAAAAAGAATCAAAATAACTAAAAAAAAAAAAATCGCCCCTCCATGTGCGCACACACGTGTGCACAAGCGTTGACCCTATGCATGTAAACAGCTGTTGCACCATGCATGTGAGGTATTGCCATAAACGTCAGATCAAGGGCAGTAATTCTAACACTAGACCTCCTCTGTAAATGTAAAATGGTGGCTTTTAAAGGCTTTTAAAGCGTTGCCTATGGATATTAAAAATGTTTGCAGTTTGTCACCATTGCACGGGGCAAGCGCAGTTTTAAAGCATGTCATGTTTGGTATCTATTTACTCAACATACCATTATCTTTTATATTTTACCAAATAATTGGCCAATATATTGTGTTTTTGTGCATTAAAAGAAAAAAATGTGCATTTTTTTTTAAAAATGTGCCTTTGAAAAAGCGTTGCGCGAGTACTATGTGCCATAAAAATTGTAGTACCCACCATTTTATTCACTAGGGTGTCTGCTTTAAAAACATATATAATGTGGTTTAAATTACCACAAGTTTTTGGAAAATGACAAAAAAAAATATTTATTTTTTTTTTACACAAAAATTGTCACTTAAATGATTTACTGCTCACACATGCCATGGGTATATGTGGAATTACTCCCCAAATACATTCTGCTACTTCTCCCGAGAATGGGGGGTACCACATGTGAGAGACTTTTTGGCAGTCTAGCAAAGTACAGGACCCAAAAATCCAATAAGCACCTTCAGGCTTTTAAAGGGCTTTAATTCCTCATTACACTTCCAGACTACCTATCACAGTTTCGGAGGCCCTGAAATGCCAGGATAGCACCTAACCCCCCCCCCCCCCCCACGACCCCTTTTTGGAAAGTAGACACCCCAAGGAATTTGATAAAAAGCAAGGTAAGTATTTTACAGATCTCATTTGTTGCCACAAGTTTTTGGAAAATGAAGAATAAACAAAAACATATTTTTTCTATTCTTTTTTTATATTTCAAAACCTTGTGAGAAAAAACGAGATCTGCAAAATACTCACCATGCCTTTTTTTAAATTCCTTGGGGTGTCTACTTTCCAGAAAGGGGTCATTTGGGGGGGGGGGGTTGGTGCTATCCTGGCATGTCAGGGCCTTCAAAACTGTGATAGGCAGCGAGGAAGTGTACTGAGGAAGTTACGCACCTTCAGACTTTCAAAGTGGTCATTGGATTTCAGGCTCCTGTATGTGGCTAGCCTCCCAAAAAGTCTCACACACGTGGTATCCCCATACTCAGTAGAAGTAGCAGAATGTATTTTGGGGTGTAATTCCACATATACTCATGGCTTGTGTGAGAAATAAATCATGTAAATGACAACCGTGTAAAAAAAAAAAAAAAAAAAAAAATTTTTTTTGTCATTTTCCATAAACTTGTGGGAAAAAAATAAATCTTCCATGGACTCAATATGCCTCTCAGCAGATAGCTTAGGGTGTCTACTTTCCGAAAAGGGGTCATTTGAGGGTGTTTGTACTATCCTGGTATTTTAGCACCTCAAGAAATGTAATAGGCAGTCAGAAAGTAAAAGCTATGTAAATTCCATTATCTATACCATATTTTGTAGACGCTATAACTTTCACAAAAAGCAATCAATATACACTTATTGGGATTTTTTTAACCAAAAACATGTAGCAGAATACATTTTAGCCTAAATTTATGACGAAATTTAAATTTTTTGGGATATTTTTTTATGACCGAAATGAGAAAATATTGTTTTTTTCAAAAAATTATTTTTTCTTCAAAAGTTTTTCTGGTTATAGCGCCAAAAATAAAAAGTGCACAGGTGATCAAATACCACCTCTATTTGTGTGTGAAAAAAAGGACATAAATTTCATTTATGTACCGTATTGCATGACCGCGCAATTGTCCGATAAACTAGCGCAGCGCTGTATAGCAAAAAAATGGCGTAAATTGCAGTATCTATACCATAGTTTTTGTAGACGCTATAACTTTCATACAAAGCAATCAATATACACTTATTGGGATTTTTTTTTACCAAAAACATGTAGCAGAATACATTTTGGTCTAAATTTATAACTTACTTTGAGTTTACTATAAATTTTTTATAGCTGAAAGTAAAAAATATTGTTTTTCTTCAAAATGTTTGGTCTTTTTTTGTTAATAATGTGAAAAATAAAAAGCGCACAGGTGATCAAATACCACTGAAAGAAAGCTCTATTTGTGTGAAATAAAGGATGTAAATTTCGTTTGGGTGCAGCATTGCATGACCGCAAAATTATCAGTTGAGTAGCAAAAAGAGGCCTGGTCATTAAGAGGGGTAAATCCTCTGGAGGTCAAGTGGTTAAAGCAATTCTAAAGGTTATTTTTTTTTTTGGAAAATAACAAACATGATATACTTACCTGCTGTGTGCAGTAGTTTTGTACGCAGCAGCCTGAATCCTCCTATTCTCGGGTCTCCTGCAGGGTCTCCTGGCCCCTCCCTCCTGTCGGGTGCCCCCACAGCAAGCAGCTTGCCATGGGGGCACCCGCTGCTCCGTGTGTCCATTCACACAAAGTTTGGCTACACCCCCTCTCTCCTCATTGGCTGACTGGCTGTGATTGACAGCAGTGAGAGCCAATGGCTCCCGCTTGCTGTCTCAGCCAATGAGGAGGCAGAGACCTGGGACAGACGAGGCTCTCAATCACATTGCTGCATCACGATGAGGCTCAGGTAAGTATTGATGGGGCTGGGGGCACTGCTGCACACTGAAGGTTTATTTACCTTCATGCATAGAATGCATGAAGGTAAAAAACCTTCAGCCTTTACAAACACTTTAAAGTATAACTTTAAAGTATATAAGAATAAGGCAAAACTTTTTTCTTTTTTAGTTTTAGACAGAGTACAGATGGATTAGAACACCTGTCAGGTTTTTATTGCTGTCTGTGCTCCTGTTAGGGAGATTCACTTCTCCATTTGTCCTGTTTACCATTATCGAAAAGTGAAAGTAAAAGAATCCCCAAATTTTTGGTTGTCCCCAGAAAAGTAAAAGAGGGGAAATTTTCTAATGGGGACACTAGTTCTGGTGACCTGGGGGTCCCCAGAGAATTCCCTTAATGTGCAGAGAGTTTCTCACTTACTGTATTGGCTATGGGACAGGAAATGAAGGGAAATATCCCCAATGGGACACAGATGGCAAATAATAACCTATCAGGGGTTATATAACCCTCCCTTGCTCTATCCAAAATACTGCTGCTTCCTTCACCTCCTTATCATCAGCCTCTCCATTTTGCAGACTCTAGAAGGTTTTCTGAGCAGGATTGTGTCTGAACACCTTTTTTCTGCCTCTTTATTATATATCTATATTGAAGAGTTTACTGCAGTGGAAAGTGACCGGTGAAGTGATCCTTTTGAGATCTCCAGCCATCCCTAACCGCTTGCTTGGTGGTCATGTTGTTCGGATAAGAGGCTATGTGTGTGGAAGGTGAAAGAATTCTCTCCTTTTCAAGCACTTTTATTTTCTTTGGCACCGGGTCTTTGTGAATTTCAGCTGCATTATCTGGACTGCATGAAAAATATTGTCATTCTACCCATGAACTTATATTCTAAAGATCATTGAGAACTGGGTCTTTGTGAATTTTAGATGCATTATTTGGACTCTTTTGCATATATTATTGTTATTTTTTTTATTCATAAACATATAGTTTTAACCACTAGCCTACAGGGCACTTATACCCCCTTCCTGTCTGGGCCAATTTCCAGCTCTCAGCTCTGTCACACTTTGAATGACAATTGCGCGGTCATGCAACACTGTACCCATATGAAATTTTTATCTTTTTTTGTGACAGATAGAGCTTTATTTTGGTGGTATTTAATCACCTCTGGGTTTTTTATGTTTTCTTAAACAAACCAAAAACCACTTAAAATTTTGAAAAAAAAACTTTTTTCTTAATTTTTGTTATAAAATTTTGTAAATAAGTGATTTTTCTCCTTCACTGATGTGCACTAATGAGGCTGCAGTGATGGGCACTGATAGGCTGCACTAATGGACACTGATAGGTGGCACTGATGGGCACTGATAGGTGGCACTGATGGGCATTGATGAGGAGGCACTGGTAGGTGGCACTGATGGGCATTGACAGGCATCACTGATGGGCACTGAAAGGCAGCACTGATAGGTGGCACTGATAGGCGGCACTGACTGGTACTGTTAGGTGGCACTGACTGGCACTGTCAGGCGGCGCTGACTGGCACTGATAGGCGACACTGATGCACACTGATAGGCGGCACTGACTGGCACTGATAGGCGGCACTGACTGGCACTGATAGGTGGCACTGATTGGCAGCACTGATAGGTGGCACTGATTGGCTTTGATAGGTGGCACTGACTGGTTCTGATGGGTGACACTGAAAGGCAGCTCAGATGGGCACTGATATGTGGCATTGATGTGCACTGGTAGGCACTGATATGTGGCACTGATGGGCACTGGCATGTGGCACTGTTCAGCACTGACAGCTGGCAATGATGGACACTGACAGGTGGCACTTCTGGGGCCACACTGATCATCAGGGCACACTGATCATCAGTGCCCTGATGATCAGTGTACATGCCCCTCCGCGGAATGCGTGACAGCTCGAGAGGAGAGAAATGCCGATAACCGGCATTTCCGTTTACACGTGTTCAGCTATGATTGGACACAGCTGATCACATGACCGAGCCGACATCTTTTCCGTGGTCGGTGATCCGCTGTATCCGAGGGACACAGTGCACCGCCAATCGTCGTGCTACACGCTCCAGGAGCCGCACATGCGCGGTGAGAATGGGAGGACGTCATATGACGTCCTCCCAGAACGAGAGAACCGCCTTGCACCCGTCATTGGACTATATGGCGGGCGGGAGGTGGTTAATGAGTCTTTTTCGTGAATTAGTGCTACAATAATTACAATAACAATATGCGCTAAGAGATTAAAAAAAATCTTGTTCAACCACATCCCATCATCGCCTCCTGGCCTTTTAAAAGGTTCTGGATGCCAGGAGGCGAAGGCACACATTTCGATCATGTGACTGCTGTAATTGACAGTCACAGCGGTCACATAATCGGAATGCTCCCAATCGCAAGTATGCGTTGGGAGCTTTCTAGTATCCTCTGGAAACTGTGCTGAGAATGCACAGGGCGTGCGCTCTCAGCACAGAAATTACAATTGGGGCGCATGTATGCACCCTCTCTGCGTTACAGCCCACCTGCCGAAACGGCTGGCATATGCGTACGGCTGGCAGAAGGAGGTTAACCACTTGCACTCCTGAGGATTTATCCCCCCTTCATGACCAGGCCTTTTTTTTGCTACTCGGCGCTGCACTAATTCAACTGATAATTGCGCGGTCATGCAATGCTGCACCCAAACGAAATTTACGTCCTTTTTTTCACACAAATAGAGCTTTCTTTCAGTGGTATTTGATCACCTGTGCTCTTTTTATTTTTCACGCTATAAACAAAAAAAAAAACAAAGATTTTGAAGAAAAACGATATTTTTTACTTTCAGCTATAAAAAATATATAATAAACTCAAAGTTAGATATAAATTTAGGCCAAAATGTATTCTGCTACATGTTTTTGGTAAAAAAAAATCCCAATAAGTGTATATTGATTGCTTTGTGTGAAAGTTATAGCGTCTACAAACTATGGTATAGATACTGCAATTTACACCAATTTTTTGCTATACAGCGCTGCGCTACTTTAACGGACAATTGCGTGGTCATGCAATACGGTACATAAATGAAATTTATCTCCTTTTTTCACACAAATAGAGCTTTCTTTTGGTGGTATTTGATCACCTGTACACTTTTTTTTTTGGCGCTATAAACAGAAAACGTTTCGAAAAAAAAACAACAATATTGTCTCATTTCGGTCATAAAAAATATCCAAAAAAACTAAACTTTTGTCATAAATTTAGGCCAAAATGTATTCTGCTACATGTTTTTGGTTAAAAAAATCCCAATAAGTGTATATTTATTGCTTTGTGTAAACCTTATAGCGTCTACAAACTATGGTATAGATAATGGCATTTACACAGCTTTTACTTTCTGACTGCCCATCACATTTCTTGAGGTGCTAAAATACTAGGATAGTACAAACACCCTCAAATGACCCCTTTTCGGAAAGTAGACACCCTAAGCTATCTGCTGAGAGGCATATTGAGTCCAGGGAAGATTTATTTTTTTCCCACAAGTTTCTGGAAAATTACAAAAACTTTTTTTTTAAACAAAGTTGTCATTTAAATGATTTATTTCTCGCACAAGCCATGGGTATATGTGGAATTACACCCCAGAATACATTCTGCTACTTCTACCGAGTATGGGGGTACCACAGGTGTGAGACTTTTTGGGAGCCTAGCCACATACAGGAGCCTGAAATCCAATGACCACTTTGAAAGCCTGAAGGTGCGTAATTTCCTCAATTACACTTCCTATTTTTTTTAAGTTATTTTTTATTTTTTTTATTATTTTTACACTGTACCTTTTTTTTTTTTTTTTTTTTGATTACTTTTAATGCTATCACAGGGAATGCAAATATCCCCTATAACTTCAATGGGCATTGTCACATATTCTTTTTTGAGAATATCAGACTCAGGTCTATCAGACTATGGATATCTCCTCTGCCCTTACATTATCTAATCAAACCAAAATCGGTGTGATCAGATGTTTTCCCAATTTACAAATGGCGCTGTTTATATCCTGCGAAACTGAAGTGATGAAATGCTCATAGCTTCCGAATTCTTAGACTATAGAGATGATTGGCACCACTCTGGTCTCCAATCAGCTCTATGGTCAGCTGGTAGAAACACCGGCTGCATTCTCAGGTTCCCCCGATGGCACGGGACTGCCCGAGAAGGCCGTGGAAGGCAGCAGGGGAGGGGGGGCATCCTCTCCCGCTGCTTGTAAAAGCAATCCTGCAGCTAATTAGCCACTAGGATTGCTTTTACATGGAAGCCGATCACCGGCTGAAAAAAATGATACCAGGATGAAGCCTGCAGCTGCAGGAATCATCCTGGTATAACCATTCAAAGTCCAGTGATGTACCAGTACGTCGCTGGTCCTTGTTGGGTGTATATGCTATGTTCTTTTTTTTTTTTTGTATGCAGCCTCTGAACTGAATGAAAAAAAGAGAAATCTCTGCCAGAAAAAGTGTGTGATATGTCCACCATTAGAATATACCGCCCTATATCCACCCACTTCTAATGGTGGGCACACATTAGGTCACACTTTGCCACAAGCGCCAGTTCCAAGATTGAACAAATGTTTAAATAGTGGCACGCTTGAATAAAAATTGTCCACGTATAAGTGGTACCCCATATGGAAAGAGAATGACACCAAGTCCTAAACTATCTTGCCACTACTCCCCATGTAGTCTGGGTATCCGGGGGGCTCCACGTGACTATCTTTTCCCTCATAAATCCGAAACTTATAAGTATAGCCTGTTGCCGTCTCACAGGTCTTCTACATCTTGACCCCATATCTGGCACGCTTGCTGGGGAGAAATTGTTTGAATGCAAGGCAGCCAGAAAAATTAATGAGGAACTCATCAACGCAGATTTTTTGTTGGGGAGTATAGACATCTGCAAATTTTTGGTTAAGGTGATTTACGAGGGGCTGAATTTTGTTTAGCAGGTCAAATTCAGGGTTACCCCGAGGATGACAGAGTGTATTGTCGTTGAAATGCATAAAAACACATTATACTCTCATATCTATGCCTGGCCATGGCAGCAGAGAACACGGGCATATGATGAATCGGGTCTGTGGACCAATACAACCACAATTCATTTTTTTTAGTAATGCCCATGTTGAGGATTAGGCCCCAAAAAAATGTAAATTCGAAAACCGTAATGAGTTTCCATGCGACTGGTCTGGCAAGGTTTGAATTTGGGTTGGCGGCGATAAATTGTTGTGCATATAAATTACTTTGATCCACAATCAACGCATACAGATGTTCCGGGGAAAACAGCTCAAAAAATGAAGGGGAGGAGTTAAATTTGCTATTTCCACCTGAATTCCGGGTTGGGCAGTGAATGGGGGAAGTACGGGTGCTGCAGAATTTGTGGGCTGTCAATCGGGATTTGCAAGCACATCCGGAGGGATACTAGGGGCTCTACAGGCCTGTGTGCGAATTCTTGGTGGTTGCGGGACAATACTTGTGCTCGCCACCGCACCAGCTTGTACTGCACTTATGGAACTCACCACGTCGCCAAGTCATACTGCAGTGCTGGTATTATTATTATTATTATACAGGATTTACGGCGCCAACAGTTTGCTCAGCGCTACAATATAACAGGAGACAATACAGAACAATGCAGTTCAATACAAGAGGGTTAGGAGGGCCTGATCCTGGGAGCTTACAATCTAAGAGATATGTGAAAGACCAGGATGTACTAGGCCACTAGTACTCGCCAGTTCACCAAAAGGTAGCGTGGCACTAGTACTGGCACTCTGCTGCATATGAGTCATCAAAATTTACTGACAAGTGCTAACAGAGATCAGGCCTGATTCTGCCAACACTGAGGTTTTGTGTGTAATGTATCAAGTGACAGTGACCTACTGACACTGCACTTGCTGGGGGAGAAGGGGGGGGGTAAGCGTACAGGCTAAACGCAGGTGCTGGCAGGTGTCGGGGCTGATCCCGCTAACGCTGCGTTTTTGGAGACGCTATACTAATGTGAATGCTGGTATAGTGCTGATCTAATCAAAGATATTCAGACACTATACTAGGTTTATTGTGCATGAGCATGTTGCTGGCAATCAAAGGGTTAAATGTGATGACTGGTGTACTGATGGGCAATCTGGTGCTATCTGGGAGGGGTGTGAACACCGCGGGAGTGCGAATCATGTATATATATATGTGTGATTTTGTGCACCCATGCCGCCCTGTAGCAGTATTTCTGCTGTAGGGCGTTCAGGAAGCGGTTACAGAAGCGGTTTGTGTTACGTCGCTGCGTTACTTTAACTGACAATTGTGTGGTCATGCAACACTGCACCAAAATTAAATTTACGTCCTTTTTTTCCCACAAATTGAGCTTTCTTTTGGTGGTATTTGATCGCCTGTGCATTTTTTATTTTTTGCGCTATATAAAAAAAGGCTGACAATTTTGGACTTTTTGCTATAAAACTTTTTGCAATTTTGGAAAATATTTTGGACTTTTTGCTATAAAACATGTGCAGTAAAAAAATTTAAAAATCAAATTTCGTAAATTTTGGCCAAAATGTATTCTGCGACATGTCTTTGCTAAAAAAAAATCCAAATACGTGTAAATTAATTGGTTTACGTGAAAGTTATAGCATCTACAAATGGCGGTATAGATACTGGATTTTACATTTTTTTTTATACTAATAATGGTGGTGATCAGCGACTTATGGCGGCGATCAGTGACTTATGGTGGGACTGTGGGACTGCAGCAGACATTCTGACACTGGGGGGGAACTGACTTAGGGTCACTGACATCCCCAGTGACACCAATACAGTGATCAGTGCAAAAAAAAAACCACTGACACTGTACTAATGGCACTGGGGAGGAAGGGGTTAACTTTTTTATTCAATGAAAGGGTTAACTGTGTGAGGGGAGTGTGTACTTCACAGGAACACACTGATCCCGAGAGCTAAACTCTGCTCTCAGGAACAGTGTGTTGGAAACTGAC